GCAGCAGCAGCAGCAGCAGCAGCAGCAGCAGCAGCAGCAGCAGCAGCAGCAGCAACAAGCAGCAAGCGAAAAGCAGGAGTTTTTTTTGCGGGGGTGGGTGTTTTGTTTGTTTGTTTGAGTTTTTCAAGACAAGGTTTCTCTGTGTTAGCCCCTCCTGTCCTGGACTCACTCTACAGACCAGGCTGCTCAAACTCAGAGATCTGCCTGCCTCTGCCTCCCAAGTGCTGGATTTAAAGGTGTGCACCCCCACTGCTCGCTGCTGGAGTGGGTTTTTAAGGAGAAAAAGGGTGAGTCTGGCCGGCAGTATGGAACATACCTTTAATCCCAGCACTCAGGAGTCAGAGGCAGGCGGATATCTGTGAGTTTTAGGCCTGCCTGGTCTACAAAGCAAGACCAGGACAGTCAAGGCTACACAGAGAAACCCTGACTCCAAAACAAAACGGGGGTGTCTATGCTAAGGTGAGTTGGTAAGTCCTGGTTGGATTTGTTAGCCAAATAATGAATTTTGATTGTTGGACTTTGGTGTTTTGTCTCAGGAGTGAGTCAGTGGCCAAGTAAGGGACTGGCCTTCGGGGCTAACTCTAGGAATGTAGCCTAAAGGTTTTTAGCAGGGGAGAGAAAGGTAGAGGCAAAACCTGTCAGCGCCATGTTTGCCATGCTCAGGCCTATTAGAGCCCTTCAACAGCAGTGGCAGGAAAAGGCCCACCTTCAGGGCTCAGCTTGGTGAGCATGTGAAATAGGCTGAGTTGAAGGTGATGCTATGTAACCAGCTTTGGGGGATGTCATGTAATCAGGTCAAGTCCCCACAGGGACTGATGTGTATGCGTCACCTGACGTGAGGGCAGATACTGACCTCAGGACAGCCCTCGGGAGCCAGCCTCCGAGTTCTTCCCTAGATGTGTCTCTCATCTCTGCCCTTCGAGACTCATTCCCTCCCGCTGGGATCTCCCTAAAATGCTCCAAACGAATTTCCTTCCATCATTTAAGTACACGTTTCTCATGCCCCAGAACAAGCTCGCTATCTCCTTGCTTGTATCTCTCTTGTCTTTCCCTCAGAGTCCTAGCCTAGGGGCTGGAGAAATGGCTCAAAGGTTAAGAAAACTTGCTGCTCTTCCGGGGGGCCAGGGTTCCCAGCAGCCATATCAGAAAGCCCACAATCACCTGTAACTCCAGTTTCATGAGATTGAATGACACCTTCTTCTGGCCTCCTGGAGTACCTGAACACATGTGGTATGCACACACACACACACACACACACACACACACACACACACACACAAAGAGGCCCCTTCTAGCTCATTCTGTATCCTGCCAGTACCGTAAGTCCTAAAACATAGTAGTCACAACAGTAATGAAATCTCAGCAACGATGAGGGCTGAGCTAGCATTTGCTGTATTTCTACTGTTACTGCATCTAACTTTCTTTTGGTTTTCTTGAGACAGAGTCTCTCTCTAGAGTCCTGAAGGTCCTGGTATATGCTACGTAGACCAGGCTGGCCTCCAAGTGCCCAGATTAAAGGCGTGCATTGCCACGTCCACCAGCATTTAGTTTTCTTAAAATCTTAGCATGGAGAATGAGGCTGAGTCTCTGAGCATAGCGCCCTTCAGGATCTCTTTATTATTCTCACCTACCTTCTCCTCCTTGAGTGAACTCAAGATTATCCCAGTGTGTAGAGCACTGGGGCACCTTTATTCTGTGTTCTAAGCCCACCCTTAAATCCGTCCCACCTTCACTTCCTGCTCTTTTTTTTCTGTTTGTGTGTGCAAGCAGAGGTCCACCTCAGGTATCCTTCCTCAGAAGCCATTCACCTTGGGGTTTTTTGAGGCAGGATCTCTCACTGGCCTGGGCCTTGCTGACTAGACTGGCCAGGGTGAACCCAGGGATCCACCTGTCTCTGCCTGCCCAGCTCTGGGGTCACTGGTGCTCAGCTTTCCTTCCTGTTCTTGACCAATCAAACTAGGAGAGCCATCGACTGGGCTCCACGCCACGCATCCCATCCCAGGGATTTCTGCCCCCACCGCCTTTGCTGAGTCTCTCGTTTGTCCTCACTGTGGTCAGTGGCTGGCAGGGAGTAAAAGCTCAACAAATATCAGCTAGTGAATGAAATGGAATTATCCAGAGATCAGGATTAGAAAGCATCCCAGGCCCCAGGCCAGTGGTTCTCAGCTTCAGAGGACTAGAAATATCTGGGCTGCCTACTCACGTTACGGACACATGAACCGCACCGTGGAAATTCTGATTCAGTGGATCTAGTACCAGGGCACTTGCGTCCCAAAGACAAAGCAGAGTATGATTCCACCAGCGTGTCAGTCCATTAGGCTTACTGACAGAACAGTGGGTGAGGGGTTACAGGAAGGAGCGTGAGTGACCC